ATGGTATGATGCAGACGCGCTATATAGCGAACTCTCCGCTCGACTTGAAAAGGAACAAAAGGAATTTGAAGATCTACGGGGAAGTCACATAAAGAAATTCTTTGCTGGTCCACAGTATAAGGAGAAGCTCAACAAGGAGGAGAATGATGTGACAGAAGTGCAGGAGTGGCTGGCCAAGGCGGACAAGACGCGCAAAGAGCTCAAAGCCAAGCTGGATGACATGAAGGAGCGGAGGCAAAAGTTGGAACACATGCTCGAGCAACGTGTGCAGGCCTTGAATGATCTTGATCACCTTTATGAAGTTGTCTTTGATGGACCTTCGCCAGATAATGCTGAAGAAGATAAACTGGAGGCAGAGATGATCGCAGCTCAACAAGTAATAACCAAAATTACTTTATATCGCTTTGTTTATGGCATGACACTGATACTCTCTAGGTATTTGATCCCATACAGGAACGTTACAGCCAAGTGGCTTCAGTGGTCAACTATATCACAATGGCTCGCTCACGCGTCACCTTCGCCGCCGGAAGCGCAGCAAAGGCGCTCAAAATCTCCGAATCGGATATCTTTGATCTAAAAGCCGGAGCGGGAATCAGAGCTAATCGCCACTTCAATTCCGCTGTCGCCGACCGGAAAGAGCGTGAAGAGTTGGGTTTGGTCCGTCTCAGTCTGACTGAGGCCTCGCAATTTCTCGCCCTGGCTCACAAGCTCGATCCCGAAGTCGGCGGGTTTATAATGCCCAAGGTGGCAGACGGGAAAAGCGCTGCTGGCAGACTCGACGACTGGATCAACACACCCGTAACTGACTACCTGTTCCATCGGGAAATTAAAGCAACGGCAGAGGGTATAGCTGCGGCGGGCGCGATTGTAGATGAGGAGCTGCGCTTGGCCGAGGAGAAGAAGAGCGGGTGGACTGAGAAGAGGGACGCTGCAGGCAAGGATCTGAAACAAGCAAGAGAAAAGCTGCAACAGTTGCGAGCCCGGATCTTCGAAGATGCTGTCAATGGCCAGGGAAGCTCAACAGCACCGTCTTATGATCAAGCGACAGCAAATGAGCACCCACCACAATACACTGTGATGGAACCTTAAACCCTTTCATTAAAGCCAATTAAGTAGTCAGAACGACTATTTATCATTCATATTTCAAACACATATATCTCTCCATCGCCATGCGCTTCGACTGTGGAGAGGGGAATGGTAAAGCACCCTCCGCCAATCCTGTGAGACAGTATCTATTAAAAGAGCCCATTACCGTGGTCCAACAATGTAAATGCTCATCGGAGTAACGTACCCTCAAGCCCAGTCGGCCAGGATATGTACCGTGTTATTCCCCTTGATACTGGTTTTAAGGATGTTGCAAGAGAAAACTGCATATTATAAAGACAGTGCTTTAAACAAGAACCTCTAAAAGTTCTCTATACTATTGTATTCATTAATCATAAAGATCTCACCAGACCTTCTCGTGTCTTCCCAATATCCACGTTCTGCCATCTGCTTTTGTGAAAGACTAGTCGCACAATTATTTACTAGTCAGGTTTGTCAGAGATGGATTCGGAAATATTTCTACGCAGTCACATACAGCTATATGGCCACTCATCGAGCTCAAAGTCCCAGTAGTTTTGGTATGGGCTCTTATATTCTCGCGCGTCGTTCGGAGATAGGTAATCAAGACGAGGGGTCCTGTACGTGTTGGACCATATCGGCTGGTATAGAGGTGGACATATGTTGCGTGATGTTTGGGGGATTGGGATAGGTCCTGTTGTTCGAGCTAAATAGTCGTACACTACGGCCTCTGATGTTGTGTGTTCATCGCCATGGCTTTCCAGAATTACACGATGCTTTGTTGATAACGATTTTAGCTGCTTGGTAGGCGGACAGGTTGAGCGGCCTTTGTTGGATGTGAAGGGCCACGTAGGTACCGCTTGCCGTTTACCTGATGACAAATTACCATCCTTGGTGGCTTTCCTCTGAAGCTATACTGTCGTCAGTATAGAACAATCGGATACACGAGGTGGTTTGTACTACTGTCTGGCATTTCGAGCATATGCTAGGGGGCTGGCAGCCCGACTCAGTGGGATGCATGTGGTAAATAGGGCTGATGTCCTTGGCACATGTGCAGGAATAGGATGCGGATACTTTGTTCAGAAGCTCCTCCCAAACCCTGGAGTGTCCTTTGTACCTGGCGACAAAGTAGCTCCCAAGGGCCATAAGTTGTGCGGCGTGAGGTCCTGGGGAATGGTTTTTCATTCAAGAAGAGGGGATGATCCACTGCTTGGGGTTTGAGTTTGGCATTAATGGGCTAAGGTGAGAGAATTTGAGATCAGGTTATTACTCAAGAAAAGATTATATCTGAGTAGTCATTGAGAGGAATTCCGCAAGTTCGACAGGCCTTATATATGTCGCCAATTCTGGACTTTATCACAACATCACAGCCTTACCTTTCTTAGACTAGATGGTTGTGATGAGACATATTGAAGTTAATTGCAAGCCACAAAATATAGACCAACTGTAGAGGCCATAGAGGCCTAATCCGCCCCTGAACGGGAAGACTCCAGTACTCAACCCAGGCCATGCTAGATGTAACATCAAGGCATACTATCCACTGTATGGAATTTGTTTTACCACCAAAAGCAAAACATTTCATACAAACAGGTCGGATTAGCGTCGTACTACGAGGAGCTTTCGGGGAGTTTCGTGACATCCCCGCTTCCTGATCACAAAATTGTCTCATATTTTTGAGCCCTAGCATCCTGTGCCGAAGCCACTCTTTTAGCAACCACGTGGTGTAGGCGAGCATTTTGCCACCCTTGGGCTCGCATGCATCTTTTGGCATCCCCTTGCTCTAGTTTCGCGTAAATACTCCAACCAGTTCTTTGTAGCATCCTGGCAGACCACGTTATCGGCAATGAAATGCTGGGATGGCCGCTTCTGCGGCCGCGGGACACCATCTGCTCTATGGCCTCGCTGAGATCGCCTGCGGCCGCAGGAAGACCGGTGTCACACCGGAATCCGGTCTGTCTTGAGACCTGTCTCAGTTTCCACCGGTGAGAACGTGAAGGGGGGGAAACGTAGGAGTTCAGTTCAGCCCAGCTGAAAGATGTCGGCGCCACCTTTAGAGTCCAGATAAGAAGCCACGCGGCAAGTCCTTTCCATCGAGATATCTTTAGAGGATCGAAATTAATTGAGAGACTTTGTTTTGAAGTTTGGTATGCTGTTACTTCGGTCCCGGAGTTTATCTGGAGGCTGAGGCCTCAGTCTGATGAAAGACATACTTAACAATAAGTCCTATATTCTTAGCCCTTACCAACTCTGTTTAAGCTTAGCAAGAATCGTTCCCAAGCTGCCTCATGCCATTGCTTATGTTGCAAACTGCATTTACGTTATGTAAGCTCCACAACTTCCCACCAATCATACATAATCGCTCGCTATCATATAATGCCGTCCCCTGCCACTTTAACTCATCACTAACAGATATTCTCAGTAACTTCTTTAATAACTGAATAATCCTGCTATAAGTAATATAATTATTATAGTGTTATATATATATCCATCAGGTAGGTAAATAAAATCTATTTCACTAGCTACTAACAAGACTTCTCCATGGCAGTAAACCTTATCTGCATTAGTCATGTTTTAACATCGTGATATTGTTAACCTTGCTACCGCTCGGCCTGTATCCCACAACTCTACCGACAAAAACCCAAAGCGGACTAGTTATCCCTCGGAGAACACATGTGTCACAACTCCGCCCTGGCACTTGCGAGGTACTTTTATGGAGCTGGTGAGACATGCAAGTAATGAAGGGCGAAAGGGGATATTGGGTTATCGAGGCTGTTCGAGTGGAGTAACCCCGACAGCTGTCTGATCTCCTCAATGCCTCCAGGCCGCGATCGGAAGCTCACCCGTACAGTAGTCTCAAACGCTATCCGAACCAGTGTCATCCTGCCCCACCAAGAAATAGAAGAGGAGTTGAGCGCAGGGATAGTAGGGAGGGAAGAGAAAACTGCAAAAAGATGGGAGGGCAGAAAACACATACTGGCGACGCCCCGTGGATACTTTTCTCCAAGAATCTTGAAACTTCAGTACAAATATCATGACTTTAAAGTCTAAACTTGGATAAAGGGACCCACGAGGCGTGGCTAACATCTTGAGTTAATACGGTCGCTAGGAACGGGCCTGCTTGATCCTGCCGCTGCAGCTAGTTAGTTTGTCTCCTGGCCTGTGCACTAATATTGATGCTCCTTGCACTTGAATGATCCCAGAAAACCCTGATCCATGGCTGTATCCCTGTTGTGAATTGGCTGCTATACAACATCAGTATCTCGCTCGAAACCCCTGCGTCGTGCAGACGCGTATTCGAGGCTGGGACGAATTGATAGGCAAACCCCTCACCCAGCTATAACATATACGTGCAGCAAGCACCCAACTTGTTCAAAGAGCGGTGTTCATGTATGTCTCAGGCTCTACAACTTGGTGTCGATCACTGAAGATTTAGGAGACTTGTTGTATAATGAATTTGTGGAGCACGTTTTAAGCAATTATTACAGTTCAAGATACTCCGATTGGAGAGATGGACCTGCACAAGGATTCTCTGAAAGCTTCCCGTGTTCTAGGGCCAATTTGCGGCCAGTAAGATTGGCGGGCCTACTTCGCTCGGTAGCGTGTCACTCAGCAGTCAGCCCAATGGGTCATGGATATGATGACAAGGGGGCCAACACCGTCATCAGCTAGCTGTCGCTCTGCTGTACTTCGAAACGTCAAGCTATAATAGGTAATTAAAAAAAAAAAGAAAGGTGAAGATAATGAGATTAGTTATAAATACCAGAGGAAGCTTGACCGAGGAAGCTTGAGCAAATCTCCGAGTAAGACCAACATCAGTTGCACTCATTCAATTCCGGCTTGATCGTATCATTCTTCTCGCGGCCTTGAGCGCTTGGCTTCAGGGAATCTTGCTTTAACAACCAACCCTCCTCCGCAGACATAGCTGCAAGCTCATCACCATGGACCCTCAGCATATAATGTGCCAGTGCCCGAACTGTAACGTCGAGGCAAAACACTGGGCACCTTGCACATGCCCTTGCCCATCATCCCCTGATGTATCCTCTTCAACACACGCGTCCCCTAACTCTGTATCAGAATATGATCAGGAGCCCACAACACCCTCTCCCGCTACATTTGAGCCTCATCAAAGTGCCAGTGCCCTCGACCAGGTAGTCAGCTTCTGCTACGGGGGATGTTCAACCCAGTATAACGGCTTCCATCCACAGATGGATTACGCATCACCCAACCCGTTGATCTACGCCGAACATCAGGATACTCAGCCAGGAAACCATACCCCCCCTACAACACCAGGCCAATCTTCAAAGTCCGCAGCCTCGTCGCAAACCGAAGACCATTTTGCGACCGGGGATACCAATGGCATCAGAAGTGCAACGGAAGAATTGGAGGATCTACGTCCTGCAGATAGATTCCTTGTCAAATGCAGGCTGAAAAATATGAAATGGAGAAGAATCCACAAGCAATACAATAGGATTTGGGAAGCCAGAAGCGAGGGTGATTTGAGGGCGCGGATGAGCACAATCAAGGATAGAAACCCCGCAGTCAGGGCCCTTCTCGAGTAAACGATCCGACAAAACTCCTTTTTGAAAGTGTACTACTTCAACTATATGGCAATAGGACTGATGGGCTTTCTTTACTGGTTAAATGTTGATGGAAACTGTGTCTAGTAATTATAATTCGCTGTCAATATAGGAAAATGTGTTCTGTTGGTTAATCCATTGTGACATCAACGTGCAACTAAAATGAAAGGATCCGGTGGAATAAAAAGAAAACCAATAGCAGCTTACGGGACTTCTCAAACAAGAACTGCAGCACAGAGCAACTCTATCTGGAGATCAAATGGAAACAAGTGTGATAGAAACAAAAATAACGGAGTTTCTAGACAGGAGAAGGTTCTCCGAGATAATTTAGTCTGTTTGGCCTCGTCGATTTAAACACGCGTCTCTGAACGCCACTACTCAGCTCTCCGCGTATCCACACCTTAAGCTCGTGCGTTACGATCAGGAGGTTTCATTGGCTCGGGCGACTGGTAGATGACTCGCGTAACTGGTGCTAGGCCACGGGTTTGGCTGTGGATGCATGCTGCGGCATCGGGGAGCCGCCCGAAAGGCACGCCGAGAAAATTAGGGGGGACTAAGCGGAGGAGACTCCTGGTGCGGGCTTTGGAATTTGATGGGGTAAAGCTGTAAGCGCTGGCTGCCTTGCTTCCTGAGCCACTGGCCTCACAAGACCTCTGCTGGCACACCCATCCTGTGAAGCGTCTGGTCAGCGGTCACGCTGAGCGCGTTGTCAGTGTAGTCCACTTTGCCTCTGCGCAGCGATTGAATGGGACCGATAATCTAAACTCCAGACAGATCCGGGAAGAGTGTTGTAAAGCAATGGACAGAACCATGGGCCCGGCTTGTAGGAACTGAACGAATACGGAATACTGCTTGATATTGATACAGCGCCTAAACAGTCTTTGCTACGTAAAAGCTGTCGAAGATTCGACAGGGACAGATCCAGAGGTTACAGGGAATGCAGGGGTAACACACCAACAGGCGAAAGCGCGACCATGAGCCTGGCGGATGTGACGGAGAGTCAGGGGAAAAACAAATATTCGAATGCATGGCGAGGGGGAGGGTCGGAGACACCTGTTGCACTCGACAGCATGGTATCTGCCTGCACACGCCCATATGATGTTGTGTCAAGCATGCGAGTTGTTGTCTCAGTGCTTTGGACCGGGGACCAGGTAGCTGACCGAAACCAGCACTTGTCGGCGTCGGTGAATACAGCTGAGATGCTGCGGGTCGATCTTGACTGTTACTCCATGGCTAGTGTGGAAGGCCTCAATCACAAAACATGCGAGTTCTGTACGCTAAGTTTGTTCCACCCCTAGCTTTACTGATAGATAGGTGAGTTTGGCAAACAGCAGAAGCGTCATATCCAAGCGTCCATGTCCTGGAGCCTGGTAGACTTACGGTTGAGCTGATAACGGGCGCTTACCCGTGGCCCCGACACAGCGTTAATTTCGGGAGGAAAGCCCCACGAAGGGGATCAACCAAGGTTCAGTACGAGACGAGACGAGAACTAACTTTCGGTCCAGGCCAGAAATAGATTTAGAATGTCAGCATTTAGTTCCCCAGCCTCGTTTTGTTCCCCTCGCAAAACACAGTAGATTGATCGGATGATTGTAGGGATGGGCCATCAAGTTGACACATTCACTATACCACATGGGGCTTCACGGACGCGCTGCCTCTGCAGCGTTGTGCGAAAACAGCTGAAGAATTGGATGACGAGAAAGACGCGACCGTCTGGCCAAGGCCATTAATATCACAACGAGCTTGCCTCTCTGCAGCAAGAGCGCTTCGTGTCTGCTGAGACCTCCACGGCGGTAACGCGATGGTAGCCTGGACAGGAAAGGTCATCCACCATCTTTGGCTTCTCCACAGCTGACCTCTCACAAGCCTATGATAGTTCTTAGATCAACAAATGTCCCGGCTTCTATTGGTGCTGAGACTACGCCATAGCTTCATGACTCAGACTGGCGATGCACACTTTTTGCCGCCACCAACAGAGGTACTTGCTGAGCTTCCGACTTGGCTCTACGCGTACTTGCTTCTCAGCATGGTCGAAGCTTTGAAACAATTGTAATTTGGCCAAGGCGGCCAAGGCGGCCGGATGCGGTCGGCATTGTTTACGCAACAATGCAGGCTGGCCTACTCAAAGGGGAGACAGTGGAAGTGGCAGTACGTACAGACCATTGTGTAACGCTACGCGTTGGTTTCGCGGTGGAAGACACAATTCGTGTTGAGAGTCCAGGTTATTGCCCCTTTCATTCGTGATCTAAACAGAAACGGCGGTGGTGGCTTTAGTGGATGTCAGAAAGACTTCCGTAGATGAACTCAAAAAGCCGACCGACAAAAGTAAAGGCTTGAGGATCAATGAGAGACCGTCATAGAAGGTGTTGATGAGGCGGTCGCAGCCTGGAATCATGACGCATTTGCATTCCAGTGCCGTCGGCCAGGTCCGTTAGCGCTTCGTTGACCGGTGACTGCCCCTCCCGCCCTTGACTGCCTCCTCCAGCAACATGTTGAGGAACACTTTCAACCTGGGATTGATTCGCCTTTCTAGAATTCATCATTGAATGCAGATGAATGATCGCAGTTCGCACTGGCCTAGATAGAGATCAATCTCGCGCATAGCGGGCGTGTGCCACACCGAGTTTTACAGTCTGTTCCGTAAGTATACGGACCTCAATTGGACAGTCTTACACGTATTAACTGCCTCAGGCTCTTGAGAAATGCATCGCTTCCATCTCAATATGCGACTGCTTTTGCGGCTCTCGGTTCCGACTCTTTCGACACGACGTATCTGATGCAGGACGCACCACGCCGACGACGGACACTGCGACCTCGAAGCTTCCCGCCCGTCAATTCATGGTTGATGTCAAACCGACGACACAAGTCCATCAGCGTGAAAGATACCGTGGAAGGATGCATCGCCCTTGACATCGGCTTGACCGTCAAGCCGCCTTGTCGTCGATGCCACACTGAGTTTTCCAACTGCGCCGACTCGAACTCATCATCCTACGATGGTCAGTTGAGACGATACCATGACTTCATCTCAGCTTGGAGTATTGAAGGGAGGACGATTGGAGGATAAGAGCTTGTCAGTGTTACCTGCCGACAAACCTCACTGCTGACCAACGCCTTTCTATTGCTCATCGCAAGACCCTGCTTCAAGTTCGAACCTCCTACCACCACACCCCTCTCTACTTATGCACGTCGTCATTCATGGCTCTTGGTATCGTCGAAGAATAGGCTACGAGATGCTGCCTTTGTGTTACCACGCAGATTGGCCACCCGAACTTGACGATGCCCTTGGATGTGAGGTCGGAAGGCTTGAACAAGCCGAGAGGGTAACCCGATGATTAGTTACTTGGACCAGTATAAGCCATCAGCAAGATGTTTACTGACTTTTGCAGCACCGCTGCTAAAGTTCAAGCCTCCCGGCAATCCATAGCCTTCATCCCAATGATGCTCTGCAGTTCCAAACCACGAAGGCGACGTCAAACACTGCCAAGCATCCGAGAGCAGCCAAACACTGATTCCTTCTGCCCTTCGGGCCACCTTGTTCCATGACATCAACGTTCAAGCCCCTCAGAAGTTGAAACCATTCGATCGTAGTCTTTACATGCACTAAGGGCCTTGCTGGTATCTTCGCGACTTCCATTCAACGTAGATTGTGCGACAGCACGCTGCGTACTTGTCTTAACGGCAGTGTGTCAAGTTGATTCCTATCGAATCATTGTTCCCGTCCCAGCACCTAAAGTTGCATTTGCATCCATTACGTCAGACCAAAAGCATACCAAGCCTCCCCCATTCCTAAAACTGCGCTAAGAGAGTTGTGCCACAAGCTTTCAGGGGAAGTAAGCAAGGTCTTCTCAAACTGTAGCTTGGATCAACAGATGCAGGCCTTGCTCATTGCACACGGTAAGTACCTGTGACGATACCATGCGATGAGGCCATCAGGAACGGTGAACATGGTATCGGCTGGCCGCAACTAACGTGCAAGATCACAGAAGTACCAAGGTCATCTCTACGTAAGAGCTTGTATAGTTTAAGTCTATGACGAGTCACATACACCGTTTGAAGAACATTGAGTCCTTTGTGCATGATTATTTACCACCTTTTGGCTCAAGGCCAAACGGCTCGGCCCCACAAAGTATTTAATCGTCCGTAGTATTTATCCGTCATTATAATTAGATCTCTTCTCCACTTCTCCACACGGGTGCTTCTTCTACTGTGGAGATCCGACCAAGACAGGTCTGCAAATAAAATATCTTACTACTCACGATGCCCCAGACCAAAATGTCCCAAGACGGACAATTTTACTCTTGTCTTCGAATTATGCATGAATACGAGACCAGCCGGCTGCCCCCAACATATAATTTATAGCAAGGACATCGCAACTATGGCACCCTTCTTGCTCCTCCTTCCGCTTGCGGCTCTGGCTTCGGCCATTACCTACAAGGCTGCATTAACTCTATATACCATCTTCTTCTCTCCCCTGAAGAACATTCCTGGACCTCTTTTTTCTCGATTCACTGATTTATGGTATGTCGACCGCGTTCGAAAAGGCCACTTTGAGCGCGACAATATCGACCTTCATCGCCAATACGGCCCCATCGTCCGCTATGGCCCCAACCGATATAGTTTCGACCACCCTGAGGCCGCCCAGATTATCTACGGTGTTGGAAAAGCAGATAAATTTGCCAAGTCCTCATTCTTTCGAGCATTTGGTATACCCCTTCGCGACAAACCAAGTTTCTTTGCGCATGAGAACATCAAAGAGCATGCCCAAATGCGTCGACTCTTTCAGAGCACACACGCTATGTCGGCACTTGTTTCATACGAGTCCTTTGTCGACGAATGCTCAGAACTATTTGACTTGAGACTCCGAGAAATGGCTGGAGGCTCTGCAGCTGGAAATACCTGGCCGCTTGTTGACCTGGGCAGATGGTTTCAATGCTACGCTTTTGACGTCATCAGTATGATCACCTATTCCCGGAGAATAGGATTTCTCGATCATGGTACCGACATCGCAGCTATCATGGAGTCTTTGGAAGGTTTCCTCGCTTATGCCAGCGTAATTGGTGTCTACTCTTGGCTACACCCTTTACTTTTCCACATCCAAAATTTCTTTGCTGGGAACACAGGAACAGGGATGCAATATATCATGCAGTTCACCCAGAAGCTCATGAAAGAGCATGAAGCTAAGCCTAAGAACCTAGATATTGATGACGAAGACAAGCAAACTATGGATTTCTTATCCAAGTATGCGGCTCGTCATCGCAAGGATCCAGTAACATACAATGAATGGTATGTTATAAGTGGATGTGCATCTAACATGACAGCTGGGTCAGACACGACTGGTATCAGTCTATCAGCTATTATGTATCTGCTCATGACCAATCCCAAGGTGGCAGAAAAGCTTCGTCAAGAGGTGGCTGAGCATCAGTCACGTGCCGCCCATTCCCGTCACTTCAGCTTTAAAGAGACACAACAAATGCAATACTTACAGGCTGTAATAAAAGAAGGGTTGAGGCTACATCCTGCTGTCGGTCAGCCGTTGGAGCGAGTGGTTCCCGATGGCGGTGCAACAATCGCCGGTCAATTCTTTCCTGGGGGAGTAGGTTGCACAAACAGGACAAATTTATTGCAGCCCAGTGTACTGAACGGCTTTTTAGACATTTGTAGGCGTTAATTGCTGGGTGGAACACTACAGCGCGGTCTTTGGACCTGATCCAGAGGCCTTCCGACCCGAGCGCTGGCTCGATAGTGACAAGGACAAGCTCGATATGATGAATCGACACTGGATGCCAGTAAGTAGCGCGCTCCCTAGTTATCCTGATCGCCGCTATTAACACTCTCAGTTTGGTATGGGCGCTAGAACGTGTATTGGTCGGCACATCTCTATGTTGGAAATGTCGAAGCTGATCCCACGACTTCTTCGCGACTTTGAGTTTACGTTTCCAAAAGATAATCCCGGGGGGAAAATCTTCAACACTAACAACCGCTGGTTTGTAAAGCCGAAGGGTTTCAATGTACATATCCAAGCTCGGAATTAGACGTTTTAATTAAGAAGCTGTATGTATAGTATTTCTCTTTCGGTTTGTCTCAGTGAATAACTAGATGCTAAGGTAATACTAATTAGTAAGATATGGAAGATTGAACGTATGTCGGGGCTTATTTATGGCCGCTCAGTACGGGTCCTGATCTTGTAGCACTTAATTAGCTTGACTGTAGGGAATGGCCGATTTCACCAAACGTTTGACGTTAGAGCTACGACTTGGTTGCTTCTGACTGAGACAAAAGAGTAAGAGGCAGACCAATGCATAAATGATCCCTGATGCTCCTGGCAACACTAAGCTCCCGTCTTGGCATTGCTGCGTATTTGTAAAAGACTAATAACCAGAAGACGACTTTAACCGAACAATGTTTTGCCCACTCGCCCGAGTACCGGGACGGATAAACGATGCGACCGGCCAGCAAATCTTATATTTACAACTTCGCCAGGTCGCTTCGCGAAGTTGTCGCATGCTAGGGTACTGCCTTCTATGACACGTCCGACAATGTCTTTCTCTTTAACACCAGATCGACTGCCACAGGGTTCCTCTGTTACATTCTTTGAGTCCACTTTTTTCACACATGGCCCAGAGCAACCCAAGCTTCCTACTCCTGCCCAAGTCTTAGCCAGGCCTAATTATATTCAGAATCCACACGCCGAGGGCATGAAGTTACGTCAGCCAGCCGTGTTTAAAGAGCTTGGACTTGTCGCGAAACACAGCGAGAACTCTGACGCGATTATCAGGGAAGGGCAGTGTCTTTGGGCCGTTCGCCACTTCTTGCCTGAAGTCCCAGTTCCAGAGGTCTACGGCTGGACACAAGAAAACGGCGTCACATTCCTCTACATGGAATACATTGATGGGGCCACTTTACGTGATCGTTGGATCACTCTAAGCGCTATCGAAAAGGACGGCGTCTGTGAACAGCTTGGATCCATGGTCACCAAAATGTCACATCTGCGCCAAGCACCTGACGATCCGTTCATCGGTAGGTACCCCTGCTCACACTTCAAGGATCCCTCCAGACCTGACTGGTGCTTAGGTAACGTCAACCGCGGGGCCGTGAGAGACATGGTCTTTACTAACACAAACTTTCCACCCGCTGGCCCTTTTTCTTCATTGGCTGAATTCCACGACTGTATGTCAGACATGTTCAAATGGCCAGCCACGGTCAATGATCCAGATCTTGATCCAGCCGACATCACAGACCCTTATCGAAAGATGCTACCTGACGACTGTCCCATCCACTTCACGCACGCAGATCTCAACCCTGTAAACATAATGGTGTCCGAAGAATCGCCTTGCCGTGTACTGGCGATTCTTGACTGGGAACAGTCCGGCTGGTACCCTGCCTACTGGGAGTTTTGCAAAGCGGAATTGACTATTGAACCCCGGTCAGAGTGGCAAGCTGTATATTTGCCCAAGATTTTGGATCAGCCAGATTGTGTCGAGTCCTTCTACTCTTAGGGCAGCTCTTTTGCTCCTTAGCGTATTAAGAGAAGAAGTCAAACAATTGCCGCTTCATCCTGGGTGTGCAGGTAACTGTACTGTTGCAGCTTGGCTATGGAGTACCGACTAGTCAATGCATCACCCATGAGAGTAGCCCATTCGGAATGGGTCGCCTTGACATTCCTTAGTTCTCTGCCGATTTAGGCTCTCAGCCACAAGTCTCAACTGCAAATAACACATCTAGATAACAAGTTAGACACGGCGATAACGCCGGCCCGATCACCGGAGAAAAGCACTTTGAAGAAGTGTACGCTAGTGCAGGTCAGGCCACCCTGACTCCACCACTAATTAAATATAAGTTCGCTTTGGACTTCTCTTATATAATAATAGAGGAAAGGTTTAAAACGATGTTTACAGTTAAGCAGGTAAATCTAGCAGGATTAAGCTCTGTCTTATTTATAAATAGTATTATATACTAGCCATAAGTAGCCAATGTAGCTTATCCCTTCTCACTAATGTAGCTTTCTCCCTTTCCCTGAAGGGATAAAGACTACTAAGCTTTATATAATTACCTGTAGCACTAGCATTATAGCTCAAAATACGTCAGACCTGGGATTCAGGTTCTATATAACTAAATCCTAAAGTTTTTGTTAGCGCTGTAAAGATTCATCTTTTTTCAGTTTCCATCCTCCTTCCTTCACATTACACAGTCAAGCTTATAATCCAGTTAATGCAATAGCTGCTCCAAATTTCTATTCACCTAGCGATGCCAACAAGACAGTCACTTCTGTTAGTGTCTTGTATCCTCCTACTGACATGGCTTCTCGCTGCAGTCTTTAACGTCAAAGGTGATCACATAAGAGTAAGTCAATAGAATCTGGAGGCTTCTTGCGAGGTCGCTCGACGACAGGTTCAGCACCCCAGCCGACACAGTCCCATTTCACTTGCTAAAGCTCCGGCTCAGGTTACACTCAATGCGATATACTCAAAGCCGACGATACAAGCCGATGAAGCATCTAATGAAGGTCGACCTTTGATACTCTATGCCTACGCCGAGTCCGAGGCTGCCCGCGCCAACTTGGAATACTTCGTTGTCATGGGCCTACATAGTGCTGCAGACTTCGTCTTCATCTTCAACGGAGAGACCAACGCCGATTCACTTATCCCAGACGCGCCTAACATCCGCGTCGTACACCGAAATAATACATGCTTTGATCTAGGTGCCTATGGTGAAGTTTTGAGAGCAGATGGTTTATGGACACAGTATCGTCGCTTCATTACCATGAATGCAAGTATTCGTGGACCATTCCTCCCATACTGGGCTCAAGGCAAGAGTGCCTGTTGGTCAGACCTCTACCTAGAGAAGGTCAACGAAAAGGTTAAGCTGGTAGGCATGTCAGCAAACTGCACCCCGCGCTTCCACGTTCAGAGCATGATTTTTGCGACGGATTCGGTGGGGATGGAGCTTCTCCTATACCCCCGACCTAACAGCTCATCACCTGCTGATGGCTTTGGAGAGGGCGGGGCGCCAGTGGCCTTCCACTCGTGCTATGACGGGTGGCTCCCAGCCGTCCACGCCGAGGTTGGAACGGCAGAAATGATCATCGAAGCTGGGTATGATGTAGATGTTATGATGGAGGCATACCATAAGTCAACCCGATTCCGATATGATTGCCAAGCAGAGGAAGTAGGCGACATGTTGCACAATGGCCACTACTTTGGCTCTAATATCCATCCCTACGAGACGATATTTATAAAAGCGAACCGAGGCATCGATCCAAAACTGTTGGGGCTATTGACAGAATGGCATTTGGCTGAAGGCCGGAAAAGTTGGGATATATGTGGCAGCCGTGCTTAGATCAAACATGACTTACTGTATTTTTTCGCAGATGATTCAACGGTTTTCATCAACCAAAATATGTCATTCCGCTTGCAATTTGGACTTGAATCTGTTAAGCTCAGGTCAACTAGCGTAATGCAGAGGCAAGGACTTTAATTCACAGAGAAAAATAATAAGACTGCTTCTGTCTTCACTTTCTATTGCCGAGATGGAAGAAGCGATGTCAAGCAGTAACGGAGAATAGTGTCATCCACAGGCGTGGGTACGCCTCATGAGCTTTGGGATAACTGTAGGGCAATTGACGCTATGTGGAATATGCCAGTAGTTATATTTATTCGAAATTATAAGATATCTGTTATCAAACTAATTACGACGTACAAAAAACCTGCTGAACTCCGCGTTACTCTCAAGCCTCTCCAAAGTGCCGTTATCATATTGCACAATCAGCTCTAGGCCATGACCTTGTTCATGACGTGGTGGTAAGATAATGCAACGGCCGTCAGGCTTTCCCTCAGTATCTCCAACGGTGACTCTAAATGCAGACGGATATCCAAGATCACGACCGAAATAAATGTCATTGTATCTGTGCGCTTGTAGACAGACTATAAGCATGTCCGGCCCCGGGTATCGGTCGACATTCCAGGTCAAGGAAGTACTCTTGGGCATCTGGTTGAGCAGTCCAACGAGACGCCTTACTGCTTTGTTGTTGACAGCCGCAATGGCTCGCTTGACACCACTCGCCAACTCAACATAGATCTTGGGTTCATCTTGTTCATTTTGTAGATAAGAAACAGATGCTCTGGCTACCGCATTCGGCTCCGCAAAGTTGCCCCAATAATTAGACGGGAGTGGCGGATCTTCCATTCTTTCCCTTGCATCGACAGTGATTGATAACTTAGCCTCTGGGTATTGATGGGGGTCTATCTGCCTGGCGAGGACAACGTGGCGCCAGAGAAAAGCGCAAATAGCTTCAGTTGTGCTCAACCTAGTGCTGGTTGCGCTTTTTAAGACATGGCTCTTGAGCAGAGAGAGGTCCTCTGCCGAGATGGAGAATATGCCATGCTCAATCGACAGAACCTCGGCAGCTTCGTAGTTTGTCGGATTCAAGAATGTGGAAGAGGTCTCTGTGAGCTTCCAATCGGGAAATTCCTCTATGGCCACCCTTTGTTCACCTTCGACAACTGAGCTTCGTTCAAGAGGCGTGATTGGAAAAGTTCGGAGACCGAGTCCTTTGGTAATGGCAGCCAAGTGCATGCCAATTGTCTTGTGCAAGATAAAGTTGCAGACGCCATCGCCAGCCACATGCTGTATATCAGTCAGTACCTGTCTGGGAGAACAATTAGGACGCGATCCTTCTGTTGTACAAGTCCTATCGCTTGCGGCAGTGTAACGAGGAGTAATGGCTATACCGCGCAAGTAATGTGGACTTACATGTAGACAGGTTCCGAGTATAAGGCCTCCAGGTATGAAGTTACACTGAACTACCAGTGCCGGAATACTGGAACCCGGAACTAGCTTTGCGGATGTGCCAAAGACAATATGTCTCGGGATTTTCAGAGGAAAATATTCTCTCTCGAGTTGGTGGAACGTACCGAACTTCCATAAAGTCCGAAGTTCCGGTGCCGTGTAATCCCTGTAATTGAGTATGGCGCCTCGGTCGCTATCGAATAGAAGCTCAACCTCTTCCCGATCGTTTCCGATCGGCCGTCGTACAGAGCATGCAAGTTCTGGGATATCACTGATCGTGTTGACCAAGGCCCGCTCAAGCAGATGAAATAGATGTCTCGTGTCTGCATTTTTTGACACGGGGAAAAATAAGCATGATGAAATGTAGTCTCTTGGAGCGATCTGATCGATCGCTGACAATTTGACTCTTTTTCCATGCATGTCTGGCTGTGGTTGAATGGTAGTGGAGGTGAAGCAGGCGGATGGGACAGATGGAATGGCAGTGGACATGTTGAAGGATTCTGCTTTGGTTATTTCAAAGCTTGAGAAATTCGCATGCGCGTGAAGCAGTTTAAATCGAAGTTGCGGATGTCCTTGGCAGATCATAGATAAAGCAATATGCTATCTGATGCATTAGACTTGCTAAATGCCGAGATTGTAGATATACATTCTTTCAGTCTAGGCTCACATACTGGCGATAATCTAAGTAATTTCGTATTACGCTTTGACCAACACATGATTAAGACGATATGCTGCTCGGGTCTTGAGTCTTGTTTACCTGACACATTCCGATAAAGCTTGTACGCGATCTCCACTTTGACTGCAGATCTTTATACGAAGAGAGCTGGATGATCGTCACTCTTCGTCCAAGCGCATGTTATAGCTGTTTTGCCTGATAGGCGATATGGCTTAGACATGATTCGGCAATGAGATGTGACAAAAGAGCGGTCCGAGCCACAGCTGCGCAGGGTTTAAACTTCATTCCGAAGATTGTGAGTGTAACGCAAGAAACACTAAAGGGTAGATGATCTACCTCTTATCGTATGTTCAGCATTTTCGCGGTCCTAACTGTGTTGAGTTTAGATTGCGAAAACATGAAGGGTGTAGTTATAATAAAGCTGAAACGGAGGTCAAAGTCATGTCGATATCAGAGAGCAACATTGAATAGAGAAGTGTAATTGCTTTCACGTGTCTAGTCCAACATCGTACAAAATGACAATCTGTATTTTCTTAGACCAGTCACTTATATCCTAAATTAAGGAGAAACAATTATTCTACATCAATATCTGCAAACACGAACGACGAATCAGCCATGTCCGATTCATGGGTCGAACCAGCGGCCCCCATAAAGCCATCCATCGCGAAGTGCTCAGCCCTCGACAACCTCACCGCTTCAGTGTATCCTTCGCCCACACACTTCTTTCCTCTAGAACCGGGAATGGACCCTCGACAGCTCTATGAAGACTGTAAGCAAGGTCTCTCCCGATGTATCTACGAGCATCCGCACCTCGCAGGCATTATCAGGAAAGACGAAACTGGACGTTACGCGATTGAGATTCCAGAGGCACCGCATGCGGGCACAAACTTCTGGTACCGAGATCATCGTCACGATGCAGATGTGCCTTCTTACACCGAGCTCAAGATCAATGGGTGGCCGTTTGGCGATGGCGAAGAAGATGGCCTTGGCAAGCTCCGACCAAAGGACTTTCCTTACGTTCAAGATGGCGATCCTGTAATCGCACCTCAGTTCAATGTCGTCAAGGGCGGTATCGTCTTGAGCATGTCGATCACGCATGTGATAGGTGACCTCGTCCAGTTTATGGACTTTCTCAGGTCTTGGTCACAGAACACGAATGCGATAGCAACTGCCAGACTTGATGGTCAACCTGTACCTCCACTCCCGCAGCAAATATTGGCGGACTTGCTAGATCGCTCCCTCTTGACACCTGACGTAGGTATCGAGGAGGATCTGGACAAACTCAGATCTCGAGCAGGGAAGCTTCAACATCTTGACATGCTGGACCCTCGATATCCAGAAGAAGTTGCAGAGAAACTGTCAAACATCTTTACAAAGGCACGTCTCACCAATGACGATCTAGTGAGGTTTACCGAAGATGAACTTCGCACTCCCTCTTGTTCTGTCTGGACCTTTACACAGTCCTCGATAAAACAACTTCTACACATGATCCAAGAGGTCTTGCCCAGCGGCTCAAAAGTGTCGTCTACGGATTGTTTGACTGCTTTTGCATGGAACCGGCTCTTTGGGGCCAAATATGCTCCGGGCTTATCAGGCCGTGATCCTCTGCCTGAGACTAGCAAGATTGTCTTTGCTGGAAGCATTCGTCGTCGGTTGACGCCTCCTTTACCCAACAACTACATGCCTGCCTGTGTGGATCTGTTCCCTGTGTCTGTGAACACGAGCGACTTCATCTCACCTGACCCCAAGACTCTTGCCCATGCAGCAATGGCAATTCGCAACAGCAATAATGCCTGGAGCGAGGAAACCTTTCGAGAGATGCTCGAGATAGCCCATTCCCATCCTATCAATCCAGGCCTAATACCAAAAGGGCCCATTGATGCACTTGTGACAGACCATACCCGAGCAAGTGCAGCTATGCTGTCAAGTTGGGGTCCTGAACTTGGTTCTTGTGAGGCCTTTAGAGAGCCGTATCTTGGTAGAATCCCGCCTCATGGGGAGATCACCCTCTTACCTCGATGGAATAATGGTAATGTAGAGGTTATGTTTGCGGGAGAGGCTGTTGTAATGAAACGGTTGAGAGGCGACCGGCTTATGAGCCAGATGGCCACTTGTCAGTTTGTCATGGGCAATCCCAGCTTTCAAGCGACTCGTGGGAAGTATGTCTCAAAGCTGTAGTGGAGACAGCAATAACCATTCGACATTTTGGCCTAGTGTAATCGGGATATTTTTTTATAACACTAGTATTGCGAAGTTTCTCTAGCCGTTGTATTATAATTGAGCTCTGTTGACTTCATTACCACCCTCGTCAAAGTGAATCTTATTCCCCATAATCATAGACCGTTGTAAGGCTGCACCAATGCGCACTGCTGTCACTGCTGATTCTAGTTCAACAGGCACAGGCTTGTCATCCAGCACACAGTCGGTAAACTCGATTGCTTCTCTTGTGAATGCTGCTTGGAATCGCCCCCAATAGTTCTGAGGAAGCTCATGCCTGATACCTTCTTGACCATAAATTCGAACGTGGTTCTCGACTGGAATCAAGTTTACAGACAACTTGCCCTTTGTTCCGATAATCTCGGTTGTATCCTCTTGGCCAGCAGCCATCATGCGTGAGGCATACAGATACGCAATCCGACCATCGTAAAATTCGACAACACCTACGGCATTATCTCTATCGTCATATTGTCTCAGATCTGGCTCCACGGCAGTGATTCCGACAGCATGAACTGATCGAACCTTGGACTCTTGGCCAAAAAACCATAGAGCCAGGTCAATATCATGAATACTGCAATCCACGAATATGCCACCAGAGAACTGAGCATATGCGACAAAAAAGCCTGAAGGATCTAGAACATCGCAAGTTTGGCTCCTCAGAACAGATGGGCGGCCAATCAAGCCTGACTTTGTTTTCTCGTAGGCGTCGCGGTATGAAGCGTCGAAACGGCGGGAAAAGCCGCACATGACTTTGAGGTCGGGGCGGGTAGCAGCGGCGTCGACAACAGATTGAGACTGAAATATTAGCATAACGTGAAGCCCGTCACAAAGAAGAACTCACTATCTCGACCGTTGTGCCAAGGGGCTTCTCGCACAAGACGTGCTTGCCCGCGGCAATAGCGGCATTCGTCTGTTCAGCATGCACCGCAGTGGCAGAGGCGACGCAAACTGCATCCAAGCCCACGTGGGCTATCATGTCAGAGTAGTTTTCGTATATAGCTACCCCGTCCGGGGCGAGGTTCTCGGCAGCCCAATCCCTCTCGGCAGCATCAGGGCTGGTGACGGCGACCAGAACAGCTCGCGGGACATTCTGAAGGAAATTAAGGGCATGTCGCTTGCCCATTCTTCCGAGACCGGCGACTCCAACTTGAAGTTTGCGAGGTGCCATTATAGTAAGGGTAGCCAGGTTGGTCAAGGAGTGAGGAAATTGAAGGAAGTAAATGAAGGGTGAGAAGTGCGGTACTGCTGCCTTGGCTTTCTTAGTTATTATATATAGCCTGACACTCGATTAAGTGTCTCCATGTCAATGGCAAACTTATTGTCTCTTGTCTTGGAATCTTTATGATGGGGAAAGCACTTGCCCAATTTGACGAGAAAAGCATGGTGGAGTAGAGTATTCGGAGGTTTTGGCCTTGAGTTCTGTGTTGGATCGGGGTAAATTGCCCCGATACAGAGTATACGATTAACCATCCCGAGTAAGGCTCCACAGTATTTCAGACCGCCGCCATATTGTAGGTGTGGACATCATGAGGATCAGCCGCGTTCTTGATTTACTAAGACATTTATACAGTATCGAAATTGATGGTAATCCGAATCGCTCAATTGCTAACCCTGCAGCCACTATCTCAAAGACTATTTTACTGCATATACCAATTACAGCTATAGGCTAAGCTCTTTTCCTGCATCAAGAATCTACCCAACCCCATGCTCTCTTTAAATGGTCCTGTGCTGATGCAGTGGGCCACGAATGGGTATTCTGCGTCAGCATCAACACATCCAATAACGCTTCTTGATCCCGTCTCTCGGTGAATCGATCTCCACACGCCGTCACTCCCATGCAGGCCGTGAAGGCAGCGGGTCTCGTGGAGGGGTTTGAGAGAGCTATCCCGCAAAGTTCTCGGACTTGGGTCCGGATATCGTCCTGCATCGGTCAGAATACAATTTTATGGTGGAATGTACTTCTCAACTTACGTCGATTTGCTTCCGAGCGAGCTGAGCAGATGGCCCAATTCGTGGTACCCGATCATCATGGCACATGAGAAGAATACGAGCAAATATGCTATGCACTTGGCCGATGACTGGTGTCTGTTAGTTGAATTCCTCAAATAAAAATCTGCAACATACCGACAGCATGGTTTAAATAAATGATGTATGGAAAAGCCTCCCCCAACGTCTCGCCAGAGGCACTATAGGCAACAGGCAGCCAGGACACTGGCCGAGCTCGTAGCCAAGCTTGGTCATAGTCAACTAGTTCTTGATAGCGGTGTCTATTTGGGCCAGTATTTCCAAAACAGTAGTTTATAACATCTGCACTGTGGACAATAATGCGATTTGCCCATGTATCATCATCGGCTTCAGAGAGAGATCGATCCATGAATCCGTGGTCGAGCCTGATTTTGACAGGCCTTTGACTCGCAAAACTCATCGTTACCTCCTGTCTCATACCGATCCAGAACGAGGCTAAACGTAGGCTACTTGGGGTCGTCGTAGAGTCACAAGTGTTCATAAATAATTGTATTCCTAACAGATGGCCTTCGTGATCGGTGCCTATAAGTGGAACGTCTAGTTCCTCGAGAGTTCGTAGAAGAATAGTCGCTGCGAGCAGATTGTCGTCGTTTAGGGCGGAGGAGTCGTTTGAGATTGTTGTCAAGTGCCTCAGACATGCTTGATGGTACCGATCGGAGGCGTAGGGGTCGTATTGCGCGTTCAGGCTGAGGTGTCTGGAGGATAAGGCAAAGATAGCATTAAGGAGGGTCGGGCAAGACGCTGCTCGTGGGGGCACGATGTTGGCAAAATGGCGTCTGGAATCGCAAAGATCGAACTGCGATAGATCAATACCGCGCATCGAACCGGGACAGAGGAGAGAATGGCATACCCATGTGCACATGTAAGTTAAATAATATTGCATCAATCTCACTTCATGATTCTCCGCCAAGGGGTAGGGTACTGATCCTACGTTGGCCAATCCCAGTGTCGAACCGTGTGGAATTGGGCCATAATTTCGAGGGGTGTCCCTGCTAACTGCACTGGCTCCATCTCCTCCACTGATCTCAATTGCATGAGTGTGAGACGTGGGAGAGACATTAGACCCAAGATCCGTAAATTGTTCAATATGAGAGTTAGGGTTACCATCAAGCCAATGGCTTTGACTCTCCGAATCTGATAGGTAGTAACCTTCAACATCGGGCGTCTCATCCACGAATTGTACTGGGGAATCTGTAAGCGAAAGCCTGCATGGATGGTGAATACTTACATCGTCTTGAGCAAGGGACCCAAACCTGATTTGGGGACGACCTGCGATGGATCTCAGCTTTCTCATCATCGCAATGGCACGTAAAAGTCCGGAGGTAGGCATACGTAGTTGAGTGCTTAAAGCGAAAAACGGGCGCTGTGGCGCAAGCGTTGCCCGTCGAAGCGCAACGAAGGCATTTTTGTGAACCTCCTCCAACAATTTGTGGACCCCAGACGCATTTGAGATGTTGCTTCTTGCACGCCTATTGATGGTCAGAGTGGCAAGGGACATCTCGGCATGGTTACCGATATTATATCTCACTTACAAGGCATGCAGTAGCTGTGCTCATGTTCTCTCTGATCAAGTTTCGGTTTTGATGCCTGGTGCAAATTCATCTTGAGGGGCAGGTTGCCCCGATTATATGACCTTGTTCCAAAGGCAAAAAAAGCCGAACAGTCGGGGCTATGCTCCGTTTCTAGATTTTGAGGTGAAACGGTCCGATGGTCTAACCTAAACAGGGTTAACCACCAACGATAATGGAGCCCATTCCCGGTCATTGCTTAATGCTTGTTGGAACTAGACTTGTCCCGTATTACCCCAAAACTCTACAAATCTGACTCGCGCTTCCCCGCAAACTACCCCGTGTTTAATCCATGTCACTGCCGAGATCGAAAGTAACTTGCCTCCATTCATTGGTTATCTATTGTCGATGGCAAGTCGCAGAGCAGACCGAGATTTTGGACTATAATAGATCAGGTTCTCGCCCTCGAATATCACCAGAGATTATTCACGCTCATCTGCATTCAGAATCTACTTATAACACTTCTCAAAATGGACAAGCAACACGACCCCGTCAAGGACAAGCTTGACGAGTGCGGTGCAACTACCGAGGAGCATGTTGGAATCAACACTTCCTTGGAGCCATATGGTCCTTCCGGTAAGTAATAATTCCCTCCTGTGTATTGAATATGATTGTGACGACACACGTTGCGATTGCATGAGCTTTGGTAAGCTGACAAACTAGGATTCCGCGGTCTCTTCTCTTCTCCCTACGTCGCTGCCTGCGCCGCCTTTTCGGCGATCGGTGGCCTCCTTTTTGGCTATGACCAAGGCGTTATTTCAGTTACGCTTGTAATGGATCATTTTCTCGATCGATTCCCCGAAGTCTCGGACGATGCTCCTGGCGCAGGCTTCAAAAAGGGCCTCATGACCGCCATGATCACGCTCGGGGCATTCATAGGTGCCATCAACCAGGGTTGGATCTCTGACTGGATATCCAGAAAGCGTTCGCTGATGGTTGCTGTTGTGGTATTTACGATCGGATCTACTCTCCAGACCGCTGCTATCAACTATGCCATGCTGGTTGTTGGACGCTTCATCGGTGGCATTGGTATTGGACAGTAAGTTCAGAGCTTCCAGAATTCCATAAGCCTTGACATTGACCGTGCATCTGTTAGACTATCCATGGTGGTGCCTCTCTACATTGCAGAGATTTCACCACCCGAGATCCGGGGTGCTTTACTCGTCTTTGAAGAGCTGTCGATTGTTATAGGAATTGTTGTTGCATTCTGGATAACCTATGGTACAAAGGTAAACAAGTTTCCGTTCCTCACGCCACGCCATATACTCATCCACTTGCAGGGAATTCCTAGCCACTGGTCTTGGCAACTTCCGTTCCTCCTTCAAATCCTCCCCGGCCTGCTGTTGGGATTCGGCGCTATTTTCCTACCATATTCCCCACGCTGGCTCGCTTCCAAAGATCGCGAGGCTGAAGCCTTATCTAGCCTCGCCAAGCTCCGCGCTCTTCCTGAATCAGACCTCCGAGTTCGACGTGAATGGATGGACATTATCGCCGAGGCCCGATTCCAAGCAAGTGTTCTCCGCGAACGGCACCCTGATCTCACTCGACGTACAGATGTGGTTGGGAAGATGCGGCTTGAGTTTGTCAGCTGGGGAGATTGCTTCAAGTCCGGCTGCAGGCGTCGAACTCTTGTTGGTGCAGGCCTCATGTTCTTTCAGCAGTTCACTGGAATCAACGCTCTGATTTATTATTCACCAACGCTGTTCGGGACCATGGGCCTCGACTTTGACATGCAACTCATCATGTCGGGCGTCCTCAACGTGACGCAGTTGATTGGTGTTCTGTCAAGCTTATGGACCATGGATCGTTTCGGCCGCCGGGGCATCCTTCTTTGGGGTAGCTTCCTGATGTTTGTGCCGCATCTTATCATAGCTATCTTGGTAGGCAAGTTCTCGAATGATTGGCCCAGCCATACTGCCGAAGGCTGGACAAGTGTCGCCTTTCTTCTATTTTACATGCTTGCTTTTGGTGCGTCTTGGGGCCCCGTTCCCTGGGCCATGCCAGCAGAAGTCTTTCCATCATCTCTCAGAGCAAAGGGCGTGGCAATCTCCACCTGTTCAAGTAAGTTTCTCACCTCTATCAAGTGCCAAGCCACTAACGTCGTTAGACTGGATCAACAACTTCATCATTGGTCTCATTACGCCACCTCTTGTCCGCGAGACAGGGTTCGGTGCCTACGTCTTCTTTGCGGTCTTCTGTCTTCTGTCCTTCGTCTGGGTCTGGTTTAGTGTGCCTGAGACTAACGGAAAGTCTCTTGAGGAAATGGACAGCGTTTTCAAGGATCGGACTGGAGTGGCAGATATCGCGAAGAAGGATCGCATCCTCGCCGAGGTCTACAATGAGCGACAAATTCGTTCATGATAGATATATAGTAGATAAATTTAAGAGTTCCCGAACCTGAATCTCATGATTTCTTGTTAATTTCCTTCAACCCGATATTACCGGCTGGGCAGGGTGGCTGCAGAAACTAAGTGTAATTCCCGTAATTCATCAGCAAACTTTTACCACTCAAACCCGAACTGTCCATCCCTGTGCTGACATCAACTAGGCCTGTGCTACGCTATTTATCAAGCCACTACGGAGTAGCTCAGGGGCAATTGCATCGTAAAGGCTGCATGGCTCCGAAATATCACTGACCATGTCGGCAGAAATGTTCCCTTTGTCGTCTGATTTCCCAAATGAGAGTGGATGTACATACAGAGGTAGTCCTTCTCGAATCATAGTATCAGAATACTCCATGTATTGTACGATAAGCACACAATTATCCCTCGTAACGGAGGTGAACTAAGTTAATTATCTTTTGGCTAGAAGAATCGAAGGATTCTTACCCTGGACGCACATCGAGTTATCGGACCGATACATCAGCCACTTATTTGTTAGTCTGTGGGCTATACCTAAAAGGACTGACGCCATACCTGGTTGGTGGTTCAGCTCGCCGCCACAAACGGCATCAAGGAGATCAGACTTCTACGCATGACTAGCGACCCAATCAACCGTCTCACCTCGATTTCCCCAGACATGTGATGCCCAGCCGTCGTCTAACTCCTGCAAAGGTCAGGGGGAATCTGGGGAAATGACTCCGGGGAACGAGCTGTAGTTTCCAGTAATGGCTGTATCAGGTCTAAAGTCAAATCCTGCCAAGTTTAAGAGGACTTATATAACACCATGCGTTTTCCGTACGAGGTGGACCATGTAACGCTGGATGCCTGTCCCTGATGCATCTTTGTCTCTTTATACCCCGCTTTCTGATTTCCTGAAATAATGTTTGGGTCAAACGCCAATTCTAGCAAAGATGAAGTTGTTCTCATATCCATGACTTCCAAGGGAGCTGCTTCTCATCACGAGTCAGGTGTCGACGAAACTCCCTTGGAAGATCTTGCTCGCCATCCTTCACATGCTTATCCCACCGCCCTTGACAGTCCAATATGGCTCCCCCGCCGATCATCAAGCTCGGGCGGTGTCGGCGCACGTATCCATCGCGGCTTGGCAAGCGAGAAAGAGATGACTCTGCTTAGCTGCTGCCGACACTTCCCCAAGGCGATTATGTGGTCTTTTCTTCTCTTTCTTACCGTTGTCATGGAGGCATACGATAAGTCACTAATCTCCGGCTTCCTTGCCTTTCCCGCCTTCAGGCGTAGGTACGGAGAACCCAGGCTTCCACTTACTGACACCGCTGGGGAGCAAGACTATGAGATTTCGCCATTATGGCAAATGGGACTTCAAAATGCTGCCGTCGGTTGCGAGATTATAGGCCTTCTTGCCCACGGTTATATCTCATATGTGATTGGATACCGCAAGATGATGATTGTGGCACTTTTGTGGATGTGTCTCGCAGTATTCCCGGCTTTCTTCGCACACAACATCGCCCTGCTACTTGCCTCCCAAGCTCTCTGTGGTAAGACTACCCCCGCCCATCAATCACATGCATTATGCATACACGATTATCTGTACAACTAACGCGTCCTTCCCAAGGCTTGTCGTGGGGTGTGATTCAAACTTTAGCTGCGACCTATGCTGCTGAAGTAGTACCCTCAGTCATCCGCGCCGCCATCCTCAGTAATGTCAATATGTGCTGGCTTATTGGCCAGCTCATGGGCACTGGAATACTGCGGGCACTTCTCAAGAATACGTCGGATTGGTCGTATCGCCTACCATTTGCCCTGCAATGGGCATGGGCTGTCCCATTGCTGTTTCTTATCTACTTCGCTCCTGAAAGCCCTTGTAAGACTCTCCCTAGTTGAGATGTATTTGTGTCCATCTACTTATTTGTTAACTACAGGGTGGTTAATCCGTCATGAGAGACTAGCAGAAGCCCGGCATTCACTGCAGAGACTCACGAGCAACAAACATATAGACATCGAGGATACAATCGCTATCATGCAGCATGTTGACTCAACAGAGAAGAAACTAGGATATGGTGGTTCAAGTTTCCTAGATCTCTTCAGAGGCTGCAACCGCCGCAGGACCGAAGTGTGCTGCATGACATGGTCTTGCCAAGCTCTATGCGGTGCCACATTAACCGGATACGCGCCATACTTCCTAGAACAAGCAGGCTTCGAGTCCTCCAAGTCGTTCACTCTAGCTACAGGAATGTATGGTCTCGGCATCCTAGGCGGTATGATATCGTGGATATTGCTTTCGACAATCGGACGGCGAAAGCTCTACCTCGCCGGCTTGGTGGCTGCGTTGCTCATTCTCACTACAGGCGGTATCTTGTCAATCGTCTTGGCCGACCACTCATCGCTGAATTGGGCACTTGGGTCCTTGATTATCCTGATGACCTTTACTTACAATATGTCCATTGGTCCGGCTTGCTATGTCATTGTGGCCGAAATACCTTCAACAAGGCTTCGGATCAAGACCATCGCCCTCGCAAGGATTGTTTATAACATGTTCACTATCATTAACAACTTTGTCGCGCCACAGCTTTTGAACCCATCTGCATGGGACCTGGGTGGTAAGTCTTGTCTGGTATATGCTGCTACTTCTTTCCTTTGTCTTATATGGTGCTATTTTCGGCTCCCTGAAACAAAGAAACTATCGTACTTGGAATTGGATATTCTTTTCGATAAGGGGGCTCCTACAGCCAAGTTCAAGGAACTACAAGACAGACTTGCCAATTCGGCATACATCTCTGTGTCAAAGGCCGAACGGGTCAGGAATGCTTGGCATGGCTGGCTAGCTTATTCCTAGTAGATCGTCAACTTACATACTTAGTATTTTGAGCTTTTATAAAACATTAGTTGAAGTACATATATATGCTGCCAATACTTGTCTCTAAAATCTTATATCTGATAAATGAAGTAGGAGATATATTATTTTTTAGTGTACATATGCATAGATATACTTAAAACACTCAATTATGCATCAAGGTTTATAACAGATTGGCCTACACCGGATTCTTCCCCACTAGCATCTAACTGTTCTTTTCCCTGAGGCGCAGATGTCTCGCCAGACGCCATAGGCTGGGCTTTACCTTTTGCTGCATTCTCTTTCGCCTCCCAGGTACACCACATCTGCCTGTTGTAGAGCACCGTATCAATGGGACGAAAATCTTGCTCGAAACATGGCGTTGTCAAATCACCCTGGAACTCTCCAAGCTCCACATGCATGCCGAGTTGGTTGTTTGATGGTAATGCGGAAAGGTCAAATTTCTGCCCTTCGGAAAGCCTGCTCATCTGTAATAGAAGCTCCATTGAACGACTGCCATGAGGAATCTTCTTATGCTTCAATAGCGCCGTAAGAAGAGTCTCGTCCACGCTGATGGACTTATCAGCTTTATCCTTGGTCCCGAGACGTCTCTCTAGCATGCTTCGCAGTAGCATCGCTCGTCGCATAACCCACATTTTGTCACCCTTGTCGTTGCCGCTCTTGTTTGGGCCTGCAACATTGATGTGGGCGCTGAGTCTGCTTACAAAGTCGGGCTTCTTGGCTTCTCTGTCTTTAATTGCCCGTTTTTGTTTCTGCAAACTCTGTGCGTCATTGGTTTGACTCTGACTTTCGTCATACTTCTTACTGTTGATGCTCTCTCCGGTGAAGTCCTCAAAGGTGCTTGATGTTCCGCCTATGAAAACAAAAATGGCTCGCCCCAAAGATCGCACAGAGCCGGATTGAAGATATTTCCCGTCCTGCATAGGAGCCAAGAAATACTTTAACCAGCCGAGTGCCTGCTTGTCTAAGGCAGAATCAAACTCGTCAAAAAGCACCGCTGGAATATCACCGGATATGATCATATCTCTGACGTCGTCAAAGATGCCTGACAAGTCCGACTGATCCTTGAACTGAGAAAGATTAGCCTCGATTGGCTTCCAGTCCTTCTTGAGACCCTTGCCAAAGCTGCTGAGAACGGTCTTGATGACTTCCTTCACTCCGAAGGACTTTCCGGCACCTGGCTGACCAAACACTGCAATCGACAATGGCCTTGATGCTTTACCATGGAGATACTCATGGATCACAGCAGCCGTAGATCGGAAACCCTCAATCTCCACTCGGTCTGCTGTCTTTAAATCGCCGTATCGAGCAGTAGGAACGGTATTTTCTATGAGTGTAGTTCCTGTCTTGACTGTCTCCACAGCAACCTCCATCTGCCAGCCCTCTATTTGGTTGAAGAGAGACCACTTGCCATCCTTGGACCCACAGCTATCGGCGTAAATGACTTTAGGCTTAGCAATCTGGTCGTTGTTGATGCTCCTGGCCTCGGGATAGTTCAAGACACCGCTGGAATCTTTGCAGAACCCAGCAGATGCAAATCGATGTGACCAAATAATTGCTCGCTCCACAGCCCCGCCCACCTGTGTAGGACCCAGATTCTCGAGGGACCCATCCGGTTCTGTGACCAAGAATGCTGCTAGCCCGGCGACAAATGCCATTTCAATGCCTGGCATACGTCCGTTGTGACGCCCGAGAAGATCATCTTCTGTCATGTCTGGAACAAGGTGACTGATAAATCGAGCTTTATCAGGAAGTTCGGCAATACTTTTCCTCACGGCTTTGGCATCCTCTGCGGCTTGAGCTTCACTTTCATCCTGAGCTTGCCTTGCTGCCCGAGCTTTCTGTGCGGCATCAGCGTTCTTCGTGGCGTAATTGTGTTTGGCGGTTTGGGCTTCCTTTTCCAGATGATTTGTCCCTCCAGAGTCTCCAGCTTCCTTCGCCGCTTGAGCTTTCTTTACCGCTTCTTGTGCCTCCACCTTGGCCTTTCGAGCTTCCTCTGCCGCCCTTTGAGATTCCTCTTTGGTTTGTTGTGCTTTTTTTGCCTTTTCACTATTTTCTGCATCTTCCTGAGCTTTGGCAGCAGCCTTTTCGACCTCTTTTGCAGCTATAGATCCTGGTTGCACCCAAGCAACACCTTCATAGCCGAAGCGGACAATCAAGTGTATATTGCATGGGAGCAACAGATCAGCGATAATAGCGTTAGCACTATGCTGAAAGTCTTCCATTGTCTTATCCCACGATATACCACGAGAAATGCGGAATCCGCGATCGCGAAGATCGTCTATGTCGATAACGACGAAAACGGGGAAAGTGTTTTTGATGGCGAGAGCCTTGGCCTTTTCCCAGTAGCCTCCTTCAGAAAGTGGTGCATGCATCTGATAGATAAGCACCTTTGCATTGGACTCAACTTCTTGTGCTAAGCCAACTGTCTTCCCAGCTTGGCAATCATCCCAGACCATGACTCTTGGGTCAGTCGAGGTGGCCAGGGCTGCTAGTGGACTGTGACTATCCACCGTTCGCTTTTGCGCGACAGCAATCTGTTTGGAAACTTGAAAGAATACTTTCTTGTCTTTGCCTTCAATCTTGTCAAGTTGCATGACTGAATGCAATCCAATAAAATTATTGTCTTGTGCAGGTGGCCCTTTCACGGTCCAGTCGTTTTCGTTCTGGCTGAGGAGCCGGACGAGCAGGTCAACACTACTGTCGACCATCACGACTTCCATCTGAGATGACGGACCATCGGTTGGGAACATGAGACATTCTTGCCGCTTCTGGCCATAGACGTGAATTTCGGGAATTTGGGATTGCGAGTTGTCAAAGTTGATCTTCTGGTGGGCTAAGCACAAGGTTTAGCTAGGAACGTGTCGCAGTAAGTAACCATTCTCACCGTCAGGTAGGATCCTGGATCCAAGAAGCAGGTATCCCTCATCTACACTGTTGGTGTATGCAGAACAAGCCGCTACCCAGACCGAGATACTATCACCATCCTAGAATAACATACAACGTCATTAGCATCCTCTATTGTGATTCAAACAATGTGCTGCCAAACTGTGGATGGTATTACCTTCAGGTGTTCAAGAACAGCATCTTTCTTCGTAAATATTTGACCCCGGCGCTGTATGCAACGTCAATGTCAAAACTCTCCTTACAGTCAACAAGAAGCATAGCAGCTTACCCATTCACATTTATCATCTCCAAAAGGATTGGAGTGACTGAACCAAGCTAAAGACTGTCCGTTTGGAAGCTTTCTGTGATGTTTGTCGTGTTTTCCACGAACCCTCAGCTCAAACCAAGTCCACAGACCATCCGGCTTCTCGGTACTAAGGCTTTTGGCTGCGGACTTGGTAACGAGTTGCAGAGTGTCGATCCGATTGATTGCGGAAGCGTCCAGTGGCTAACGTATCCCTTCAGTCAGTCCATGGCTCATATTGCTTTCAAGCCCATAGTCGCAGAGAAGTATAACAACAAACCTGAGTTTCAAACCATTGTTCTCTTTGGATAGTACTTTTCTCCTTGCCAACTTCAATAGGCCCACCACCAACATGAAAGCCTGTCCCACTACCTGGCTTATTGTCCTTCCACCAAGACTTCACCCACTGAAACTCAGTTTGGAGGAAGTCGTCCATATTTTTTTAAACAAAGATTTGTAAAAAATAGGTATAGTAGAAAGAATGATTTCCACATGGTAAAGGAATTAAAGATGATTTCCTGACTGCAGTTCCCAAACCTACTTATAGCATTCTTGTCTTCACTAAGCCTCTGTGATAAGGAGCGCATGGAAAACAAAAGAAGGTTCAGAATGAAACCTTCAATTGAATATCTTCTACAGCTTATCACCAATAGGATGTTCACTGTGTCCTGTAGACTTTGTGAGACTGCCGGGTTCTTTCCCTAATTTGGCAATCAGAAGCGATTTATGTTCCTTTTCCCAAATAAAACATGCCACGTAAACATTACTGCAGGAGCTGAATCTTGAGCACAAAAACCACTGAGGTGGCAGTGATCCTGGTGCCAATCAAAGCCTCAAGGATAGTTACGGCTTTCGGCCTCCCAGCCGTCTTTCCCCCTTCCCCGCAGCGTTGGTGTAGCCTAACAGGTGACGATCATGCATGGTCCATTCCTGGTGGGGGCCTGGACCCTCACTGTCTCGGATGGTGGAGGTCAGGAAGATGTCCGATTGGTGGTGGAATAAGTAATGGCAAGTATTGTAAAAAGACAATGGCGTTCGCAAAGACGGAAACGTGGCTGGCTGGAGTATAATGTTGCTTTTGTACTGATTCCGCTACCCGCTGGCTCAGCTTGCATACTGGTCCCCACTGGGTCCAGCCAACGGGAATCACCTTAAACTCCTTCGCAAAAGGACGTGCTATCTCGATCATCCGGCATGAATGAAGCGCTAGGAGGTATGTACAGTAACTCAAGCCGCTTATCATGGAATAGTGGAAAATAATCCACCACCAATTGGCGCCACGTTGTTAGTTTATCTCGACTCAATTTATTGTTTTCAGCCAGCCTCAACTCAGCCTCTGTAGGGACGCTAGAACTCGATTTCATTCACTTATTTGGGGGCCTTTAACACTGAAGTAAGAAAATACGAGATCCATATACCAAGCTTTTCAGCTTTCGGGCTATATTTAATAGTCTAATGCTTTTTCTTAGTGTGCTGCACTGCTCATGGAATAAAGGGTGTATTGTATAGGGAAAGAAGGATTCAATCATTTAAGAGTAGGCGAGAACTGTTAAACATGACCCCTAAGTATTTGCGATATTGATCCTTGCCTTCCCCTTTAATACTACACTGTCGAGTCCATTGAAACCACATCATCACGCCATGTTTCGCCATAAAGGTCTGGTTGCTTAGTTGGTCTCGCTCCAGACACCCATCTTGTCAAAGTTGATAGTGGTGTTCTGTCCTGCTGTCGGACTGACAGCCCAGCTCTTGCCAATGAAGTTGACAATCATGGTGGAAGACTCAACTCTCTGCTGGAACCAGAAGACGACCTTAGGAATGGGGGTGAGCACAGTCATTCAGGTGACCACCTGGTCAGGAGAGATATAGACTGGAAAAAATTGTTACCATCCTTCATGCTGAGGACGGTGGAGCAGGGATATCGTTGGAGAACCGGAAGGAATCTTCCTCGACGTTCTGCAGATCAGGGTAGACACTGGTTTTGGTCCAGCTGTGGATATTGTACGTCTGACCACTTGGGCTTTTCGGCTTGGTCAATCACTTCCCACTGAGAGGGAAGAAAGAGCCGGAGAAGGTCAGTGCAATACTTGTCTCGAAAGTCTGGCCGAGTTGTATGGTTGGCTACATCCGCATCAGGACCCCAGGGACCAGTCGGAGCGAGCGAACCAAAGACAAAGCATAGCTCTAGCCGTGTCTTACTTGCCATGCATATCGATATCGGTGGAACTATGTATGGAGACTGTTCAGCCAGCCACATCTTATGTCGTGAAAGTGTATCATTGGGTGTTAGACTCACATCCAGTCTTGTCAGTACGCTAAATTGCCCTGGCCCAGTCACCAGCTATACACATAGGAATGTCGAAGACCGGCTGAAGTAGAGACATGTTCTGGACCGCCACATTTACCATGTTTTGCGAGGTGACCTTGGTATTATCCGTAGAAAGGATCCAGTCGCGGCCATCGAGCCTGGCCTGAACCTTGAACATCGCAGGTAGACCCTGGTTAGGCGGTACATACCAAGTACCAAGTACTGGGGCGGTGCCAGTGACGAGGATCGGCACAGGGCTCAATCGGTCGGTTCCAGGCTCCGTGGCAAGCCTGTAGGTGACACATCGATTAGAACCTGTGGGGGACTCTTCGAAATGCGCGCTATCACCAGAGGCCCATATGACATTGGTCTTGTTCTTTGGAAGAGAAGTGGTGAAACTGCCGTTCAAAGTGGTGAAAGGCGGAGTGCCTTGATCTGCGTGATGTTAAATGCCATGACTGGGTTGGTTGTGGTCATGATGAATATCGAAATGAGGCGACGGTCCTGTTGGCAAGGATTAAGTTGGGTCAATTTTCAATGGCGCGTCCTATTGTTGGAGCACCCATTTCACCTCTGTATACGTGTATTTGTGTGACAAGGAGATGATGGTGGCGTTTCTAAGCGCCGAGACTGGTCTTTCCTCATTCTTAACGATAGCTAAGGGGGATGTGCATTCACTGGCACATTGCTAGTCGCTTCGTGATTCATCGGGCCGGTCTGTGGCTAGCTGATAGTCCCGATCAAGCTTAAACAGTAGCACATGGGTCTCAGAACCCAGTAAACGCTATTTGAAGTCAAGCATCACGCCGATACGAGAAATGTTTCTGGCTTGGTTGGTAATGCGGCTATCACTCGATGGGAAATGGAAAAGAGTCATCAGTGTAATGGTTAGATTTATTAGTACATTGATGCTATGAACAGCTACAATTCTCACCGGCTTCCTGAGCATCAACCCACCTGTTGTCTAACCTCATTCCACTTCTCAATTACAATATACATTACCAAGATGCCTGTCTGGTCAGAATCTGCCCGTCATGTTGTTAACTCTGCTCCTACAATCCACAACATTATCAACGACTTCAATTGGAATACCATCATAAGAGTCGCCGTGACTGCGTTCCAGGCATCAACTTCACTAGCAGAACTTGCAAGCGACGCTCTCGTTGCCATCACGGGGTACTGGCCCCCGAAACTTTTACAAGGGTTCCCAATGCCGTTGGTTGTAGCTTCTGATAATGACGCGTGGGATTTAATTTTGCAACTGGTGTATTACGCGAACCTCATTTTTAGGACTGTCGAGGCCGCTATTCAGATAACCCCACTTCAAGGCACTAATCTGCATGCCGCATTTGTTCAAAACGTGCACTACATTATGATATGTGCTTTTCTGGCGGCTGACCACCTACGCGGCATTGCCGCGGTTGTGGGTTTTGGCAACAATCCTGAGCTTCTTAACTTTATGACCGCATTAGCTAAGACCAATGCAGTAGGAGTCCTGTGCCTACTGTTGAGCGGGCTTGTCACGGTCGAGCTTCTTTGTTTCATCATTGCCCGTGGCTGCCTTAACATGCGCGAGTTGCTTCTCCATATCAGAACCAAAAGAGACAGTTTCAATGTCCCTGTATTACCGAATGCTGTTGGGGCGGCTGGATGGTGGGACTGCTACAACAAGGCTATCCCCAAGGCTGTCTTCGTCTGTGCTGGTTCTGATGGTGGTGCGGAGCCTTTACAGCCTGCGCTTGTTATCACTACCTCGCAGGACGAATGGGGCGCCCTCAGTACCATGCAAAACTTCGCCACGCGCTGTCGACAACCACTTCGGCGCCTCGACTGGAACGGTGTCGGGACACTACGAGACCCAGTAAGGATAGCCGCCAGGTCTTTGTAGCTTCGCCGTCCGCAACGGGGTGAAATTCGCCTGGGCGCACCGTCAAAATCGTAAATTGGAGCACGCCATGGCCATGACTTGCCCGGGCTTTCGGCCCAAAGCCCGCTGTCTACGATGTCAAGCGTTCTTCGATTATCCACTCCATCTCATAGCGGTATGAGCATTAGTAACTGGGCAGGAGGATGTCTCGCTTCGCGCAGCGTTCCTCAAGTGTCACTTGGCTCGGGCTTGTGCTGAGTGTATTACAATTATGCTTGCGAGAACGCGGAAAGCTGGCCAGCTAACTCATTAGAATACTGCCCTGGCTCAAAACTGCCGTTGTCACTATATTACTAGATAGCTTTTATGTCAATATCATTTCCTTTGTTTATGAACAGGTTTTAGTAAGCTAGCTTGCCTCAGAGCTAACTGACTTTCTAGTTTGCCCCTTGTTTTTGATGCATAAGCTACCAAGGGTCTGAGGCTGGTAGTCATAATCGATGATTCATTGAGAATATATCTCCTATCTGTGTTCTCAACTGGATGCATCAAAAACACACAATGAGACCTTTGTCCTTGTATTTGTCCTTCAAGACACAGTCGCTCCCAAAATGCAAAGGAAACCGTGGTGCCTCAGGCCGGGGAACGCCATCTCGATGAACCATAATGACAGGGCTACTGCAACTACTAGCAACCGGTATCCTTGGGAGTAAGCGAAACAACCGGAAAAGAGTTTTTGTATTTTGCTAGAAGGGCCCTCTTCGACAGTGGTTCGTTTCCATCCTCTACCTGGCACTGCCTTGCTTGGTTGTTGTCCTCCAGTATTGTGCAAATTTGGAATCTGTTCCCCTACATACTGCTTCACATTCCTCACGCTTTTTAGAATGGCTTTTTTGTTCCCCTTGAGAGCCGATCATCGCCACTACTTTCACTAACACCGTGGCTGCTCTTCTCTTTGCCAATGATTGACGGACGGGTTTACCTGTGGGTTTGGCGGACAATGCTGCTTCTTGCTTGGCTTTAATACAGAAATTCCGATTGAGTGAAACACGCGGTACAGTTACCTTCTCAGGATAAGACCAGTATCGGAGTCTTGGCGTGTGCCGCAACAGCTCAACTAGGAGTATCACGGTTATGGCGTGGCAGAATCACACAGGCGACCGAAGCACTTGGTATGTTGACCAAGATTTCGCCGAACCAGCAGACTAGATAGAATTCCTAGTTGCCATACGCAACAGCGATAGTGACTACAAGGAGCTGTGGCGTAATGTACAGCTACTCTCGGTCAGCGGTAGCGACCTGAGCTAGAAACTGCCTTATTGCCTTATATACTGGCCTCTATCATAAATCTATAAGGTCCATTTTATTAATTACTAGTTATAAATTAAATTATAATATTTATTTAATAGCTATAATTTTCTATTATCTTTAAGAAATATAAGTATTCTTTCTGGTATAGTAACATTCTTTATGTGTATATATCTCTTGTGAGTTTGTCTTGTTCATGATATTATGGTCCGCTCATAAGTGGTCCAGTTGCTCGTCGCGAACAAGACTGACACAACACATGCTTAGGGCTACAAAGCCAAGACTTTACACAATACTAAGTAAAGTCGATCGATCATAAAAATTTGCACTACCACGCCCTTAGTGGACGGCTCCTTAGTGCTGGCATGCCGCACGATTCTCGGCAGGCTGATGCCCACCGCCAACCAGACAATAAGCAAAGCCTTTACTTTAAGGGACTTGTCTCTTATATGTGTCAGCAGCCTTTGAAGCCAGTTCGTTAGACGGCTTTATTAAGAGCATTCCAAATTAATAAGTATTGTCTCCCTATATCCAACCAATACCTACTGACATCGGCTTAAGCAGCCTACTTATTTCTCTTACATTATTTCATCATCATGAAGTTGCCAACGATGAGACTAGCCTCCTTAGGGTGACACCGATTGATCGCTGTGACCCTATAGAATGCGATCTCTCCATCGACTTGCTTGAGGTGTTCAATGAGATTACATACTTTGTTTGGCCTATAGGGCGTTAAATCTTCCCCTAGCTACATAATATATATAATATACATTATAAAAGGCACCCTAACTAGTATTTAAGGTAAAATAAGCTATTACGTAAGGTTTAATTATTTAATATCTAAATAATATATTATATAAAGCCTTATAAACTTATTAGTATTTTAGTATTAATTAATTAGTTTATATATAATATAAAAGACTTATATATTTAAAGGTTTAAGTTAATTACTCTTTATTATTATTATAATTACTTAAAAAGATTACTATTAACTATTTAAATTCTACTATACTATATAAATCATACTATATGATATAAATTAAACCTAAAGTTCACCTATAATATTTAAGCTTGACGTTATAGTATGCTTGGAGTTTTGTCTATAATAATCCTAACAGGCAGCTAAAGCCACAAGCGTTCCAAAGACTGGACCCCCTAACAAGTCCAATATCCCATAAAAGACAGCTTCTTCAGCAGGAGAGATCACGTTCCCGCCCTCGCTCAACCCCCATGCAACACCGTAACCTACCCACACTACCATCATCAAGGTACTGCACTGGACATACTTGCGCCTCAGCTCGGGTCCCTGAACCTCTGCAGCCGTTGTACCAGTGAAGATGACCTGGTAACCTATGCCACCACATGCGATGGCTCCATAAAAGCTGTATTAGGTCAGTATTTGTCTGTATTGTAATCTTGTCAAGAACCTCACTAATAAGCCCATTTGTAATCACTTGGAATTACTGCTCCACTGAGTCCTGTCGCGATCACAACAAGATCCAGGAAAACTTCTACCAATATGACTTCAGTAGATGCCGAAGCCAGAAGGAACAACTCGGTCATCAGAAGCGGAGTTGCGATGAACCTTTATCGCTGATTAACCCAGAAACATTTATTTCATTGAGGGGCCGGCTTACCATGAAACATAACGAACCCAAAATATTTGGCGACTGGGGTGGTGGTCCTGCGCTGCCCTAGTCCCGCGAGCAAATTCGACGTCAACAGCAATCCATCCGATATCAGCGGCCATGGCGAAGTAACACATCGACATGACGTAGCAGCTTGAGGCAGTCAGAGAGCACACAGTCAATAAGAGTTTCTTAGATGCTGTTAAGGCTGTGATGGCGAACGCCATCGCACACAGCGCGGTGATTGCTGTCACAGACCAGCACCTATAAGGTTGTTAGTGACTCACATTGAAGTTTCCATTCTCACGATGAATATACTCACCATGCTTTGCCCCAGTCTGATATTGTGATATCTGGTAACAGCATTTCGTAAATGTGCAGTAGTTTAAGTAGTGTGACTGTGTGTGTCAAGTTGCAGTTGTGTATTGTTCAGTATGATACCAGCTAATGTTGTGAGATTTCTTGCGTGGTAGCTTTTTATGGTAGGATGAGGGGTGAGGTGACGAAATAGTCCTTATTTAGTAAAAGCTCCTAATACCACGTACTAGTCTCACGATCTGCTTTATCTGCTCCTTAGCTTCCTTAACTATGACTGATCGATTTGGACGTGGCGGTCACTATTTCTAAGATGCATTCACCAATGGCTGACTGGGTACTTTTTTAGTCCCACTGTTGAGGTGCTCAGCCGGCTTTTTCACCGGCATGTCTCACTACACCTGCCTACAATTGGTGGGACTCATGGCTACTAGACGATCATTATGGAGCTATTGACCTTCAATGAGACAAACATTTTCTGGAATTTCCTTTATTCGCGAGGGGATCTTACTCGCACACCGCTACTTCAATTCTGAGTTAGTTTGTCTAGGCCCTGCCCCCTTGCTACAATGGTATCCTAAACCACAACCAGTCAGCAAAAGGATTATGTCTCACTGTTATGAGACATAACAGCTTGTGGATCAGTGTTCCCACGTACCAAAAGAAACTCCGGTGTCCAGGCAGACAAGTACTTGACGAATATGCTTTTGTCTCCTCTCCAGATCGTTCCCGTTTTGCCACATCCAAGTATGTCAGGCAATAGAGAAGCAGCCACTTCAGATGCAGTGCAGCCCTTGGGTCCGATATCACCGCTTCGCCAAGCAAGAATTGTCTCATGGATTGTGGTGTATCTTGACCTCGGTGGTAGTATCAAGCTAAATTTGTTGTTGTTAAAATCGGTAGCGACGATACCCAACACGACCGTGATAACAGAAACACCAAAAGGCGCCAGTTCAAGACGTAGAGTGTCTGAAATAACGGTCATGGCTGCCTTTGACGAGGCGTATACTCCTATTTTAGGGAAAAGAGAGAGAATTGTCAGTCATTTTCCATTGTAGCATCGTGTAAGACGTACCCATCCATGGCATGTGTAAAACAGAAGATATGCTGCACATGTTGACCAGCCTTCCCTTCTTCCTAATCAATAGATCTGCAAAAGACTGAATAATCCTGATAGGACCCCATATGTTTGTGTCGTAAACTCGCTGTGCCAGGTCAAGGTCGGTGTCAAGGAGCGGTGCCGTATACCCGACACCTGCATTGTTGATCAGAACGTCAAGTCCAGGGTCACCTCTAGCTTTGGTGGCATCGGCAACAGCAGTGGCGACGGTGGCTATGGACGTCTTGCAAGTCACATCCAACAATAGCGTTGTGACTGTCGGAAGGTTGACTAACGCTGGAGGGATTTTGCTCAGGTTTCGTGCCGTGGCGAATACGCAATGACCTTTAGTGGCGAGTGCGATTGCTAAAGCTGCACCAACACCGCCGGCCGAGCAGCCCGTGACAAGAATCGTCTTGAGTTCTGCTTTGGTTGTCATGGTTGTGAATCATGTATGTATGAACGTAGAGTCCCGGCAAAAGCAAAATCCTGGACGTTACTGACAGCACGAACGGATAAGATGTCGGGCACTGTTGACACTGGAATGCATGTCATTTGTGGATGGTCTGAGACTTGGAATACCGAAAGATGTGGCGCTATTTATTTTATGTTCCATCACGGCTTATGGTGCTATGAATGTGGAATCGGCCGGTAGCTTGACAAAAGTGTAGGCTTAAAGGTCGACGGAACGAACGCCCGTCCTAGAGAGACCCGCTCCGAAAACATGAGACTTGAGGAAACGTATACATCAGTAGCCGGCCAATGACCGATCGGTGACAATGTTACTGGTAGTTTGGGAGGCGAGGGGGGATCATAGACATTTGTTATCTTCTGAGACACGGCAGTCAAAAGGTGGATTTAGTGGAAGCTATCACGTCTTTCTATATTAGGCAACGCTTTTTCAGTGTTGTCGTAGACTAATAGCTCGAAATTAACAGCGGCCTAGATTGAATTTAGTCTTTGGGTTCGATACTTTGACTGCAAATTCTTCGTGCAATACTCTCTGGCCCTTGCATGTAAGGATAAGAAGACAAGATGATGTTACTTGCGCTTATAGCTATGTAGCGGTCTGCTAGGGGCCACAAAAGCTATCCCAAGCCTCAGATGCAAAGGCATAGCCAGGAGTAGTGGGGATCCTAGCTTGCGTTACACCATGTCGATCTGGCCTCCAAATTCCATTGTTTCAGATAAATCGGGCCCTCCACCTTCAACAGCGACACCGGTAATTTCTGTGAGCAGAATTTTCTCGGGCTGAGTTACTGCAGCTTGTTGTTGCATTGTGCTTCGCTCAACTTGTTATCAGATAGACGACCAAATTATGAATGCATCTAGTTAGATTCCAATGTGTGTATTGCGTTGTCGCGTCTCTACTGTGCTTTTAAAATGGTCAAGGCGTTGGATGTGTTGTTGAAAGATATCACGATACTGTAGATCGAAGAAGAGGATAATTTCATTTATGACGCAAGTATCTCTTCTGACCCCATGAAAGTGATGGTGTATTTCACGGTTTCAATAAGCTTCAAGCTAAAATTGAGGAGAGAAGTGAAAACAGTAATGAACGATAAGTTACCCCCGATGACTTTTGACGGAAAGCTGATTCGTGATCTCGTCCTTGGTGAACCAATTGCCATGTAATCCATATGGCACACGCTGTGGCAGTCGGACCTTCATCACAACCTCCTTCATTGATTTTGCATCAATCGCCCATAATTCGCTCCTCGCAGTATCTGGCGCATGTCCAAGTGCATCGAGTTGGGATTCATCAAAAACATACGTCAAGAGCCATCCGTCATCTTCCGAAGTCCCTCCTTCGCGTGGCACAAAGGTACATTCCTGGGCGTACCAACCATACGGCATTGGAAAAATTTGAATTGAGTCGTCTGAACCCTGCGATGCCAAGATTTCTCCAATTGTTCGGTCGTCAACATACCCGGACACAGCGCCGGGGGGGTTCGCGATTCCCTCTGTTATCAGCCTCTGAACGTTGAATTTTACTATACTCCCGATCTTGAACGACTTTTGTGGTTCATTGGTATGGTCCCTTTGCCCAACTGAGCAGCCATAGACAAACGTTGTAGAGGACATGGTGAGGTGCTTCGGCACGTGCGGAAACTCGAAAGGTATGGCACTTAGCGCCCATTGCTGGGATATGCATATTTCGGTACCGGAGAGAGAGAACTTGTAGTAGTAAAGTGTGCATTCGTCTTTCCGTACAGCTTGGTCGTTTGGAACGGGAAGATTAGCGGCTTGGAAGACGATTGATGGACCTGATAGTCGACAGACAAGCATGTTGGTACTTGACTGAAACTTATCGACTTCTGTGGATTTTTCATCCCAGGTATTGACGGTGTGGAAGATGCAGCATGCGTCCGTTGAGAGCCACTGCACGTTCTGGGGCGTGTGTCGTGGAAATATCCCAAATCTAGTTCGTCCTTGTGGGTCAAAAGCGATGACGGGCCTCTTTGAGATCAATCTGAGGGGATTTAGTGATAGTGGCATGTCAATTATGATGGTGTATTGACGAGAAACTCCGAGGTCATGCATCATCTTTGGCGATGAGATACCTGGCACACGACTGTTGAGGATTTGCGTGCCAGAGAGGCTCTTGCTCTTTTTCCCGTGTAATACAGAGTATTGTACATATGGCCAAACAAAACTTGAATGGAACTGTACCATTTCCCCTGTAATAGGATCAATGTGTGGCTCCCATGAAGTCAGTGTCGATCAACGGAATTCCATTCGTTTTTACTCACATGTCCAGTGGTCCATTCCCGGAAAAATTTCAATAGCCCGTTTCCCCCGAAGCCAGGCCGTAAAGCAAGGTCATGACGCCCACTCGATTCTCCCTCAGCGCGACATCCGTTGAACCAGCCGACCGTTTGGAGACTCGGGAGCAAGATTCGCATAGGTGGTCCGCTTTCGCACGTAGCTAGCACACGACCTCCGTGGGACACAATGTTTGTGTTGGCGACACTAATTCTCCTAATAGGAGGTATGGAATCCCCCCAGCCCCAAGCGGAACAAATAATTACCCACATGACTTTCAGTGTCTTTATGATGAAAGACCATAGTGTTATTTCTGGGTTGAGTAGCGTCGCCATACTGAGCAGTATGGGTCCTCGAGATACAGGGGAATTGGCTTCTGCAAGAAATATATCTGTTCGGACATACTTGTTGCTATAAAGCGCCTGCACACTCTCGATGCCAGCTTTCTCGCTGAAATATACAGCACTGAGCATTCCGTGCCCATCGAACCAATGTATTTCATCTTGGGTCGAACAGTGGCTTAAGGGATTGCCACCATTTCGCACATACTGGCCACCGATTAGCTCAAAGGGTATCTTCCCCTCGCTTTCGCAAACCTCAAAAGATATTTCTTTCTTTACTGGAGCAAAATTTCCTTGGAAATAACTTGTGATTCAATGGTTAGTCACTTTCTATAACGTGAATGGATTCGTGGCTCACGGATGTTTTGGGGTATTGTTTTCATCGCTCATGATTGCGTTAGTTCTGTGTTTACTTAGGCCTCTCAGTCAGAATAAAAAAGTAGTCACTTAATAAATTATCTTAAAGGCGCATCCACAATCAATATGTCCCTTTTGTTATATTGTCTCATTGTGTGTTATGTCTAATATGACTTTTACATAACGTATTGCGTGTCTCTTTACATGTCACATCCGTACTACTTGAATTAACGTGCAATTTCTCTGTCGTAGACGTATTGACAGGAGAAGCACCATGCTTGCCCTGTTTCGGCCTGCTATGTCTCTGCCTGCCGTGTCTCGCCCTACCGTGTCTCTGCCTGCCGTGTCTATGCCTGCCGTGTCTCTGCTTAAGATAAAGTTCGCACTTAGGCATATAGTTAAATAGGTGCTTAGATAGTATATAAAAGTAAATCTAAACATATGAAATCTAATTTTAAAGTACTACTCTCTATCTAGCTGCTATTAAGCCTGTTACTAATTTTTAATTACTTTATATATAGGGCTTGTTGTTACTTTTATATAACTTTTGTTTTTACTTTACTTTAATAAGCCTAAAAATAGAATAATTAAATTTATATAGTATATCTGGCTTTAAAATAAAAGATTATTTTAACTAAATAAAGACCTAAAATGAATAAAACTGTATAGAAGTTGTAAGTAATATATAGAAGTTATAAGTAATATATAGGCTATCTCCTTAAGCTAATATTACCTCAAAATAATAATAATCATTAAATCTATAATAACCTGTAGCGTAATGTTTATCAGCTACTCTGGATCAGCAGCTATGGCCCGAGCTGGAAACCACCTCTCGCCTCATGCGGTGGTCTCTGCGACAGATCCGCAGGCTCCCATTCATTGGTTGGCAGCTATGGAATAGAATTATAATGTTTGTTCAATGGCTGCAACTTCTGCTTATCTTCAAGAAGCACGAGTATTTTGTGTGGTGTGGCGCTGTTCCTCTCTGTACTTGGTGGATGAAAGTATTCTTCTTTTCTAGATTAGCGCCAGATTGGGTCCAGTATCTTGAGTTGTCTTGCTTCATACTATAGCGACGATGTATGCGCGATTAGTTGGGCCAACTCTGCTGGGATTTTCGGACAGCTACGCGGAATACTATAAAATAGTAGACGGAGGCAAGTTTTAGAAATTATAGCACAAGAAGGACTATGTAGATTAGTAACCAGGAATATTTTATTATGGGACTCTCTTTTACTGCTATGGCTGATGGAGTGACTGAGTACTGCTCAAAAAGGTCGGCGTCTCTTCTTCCAGCAATGGGGTTGAGACATTTATCCAACCAAACAAAGGGTCGATCGGCAGACCATACTCAAAATCGGCCATGCGGAACATTTCGGATCCCGTATGGGATAATTCATTAACTGAAAACGTGCTCTGAATGACGTCCAAGTCAAACGACATATCATTTTGCCTAAGAGAGTGCGATTCTTCTGCTGTAAAGTCAATATCATATATGCAAACACGGAGGAGGATTGAACCTACCGGTAATCAAGTTCAGGTGGTTAGCCTCAATTAAGCGCCTGATACTGTTTGCTGGTTTGGCAACACCAGGATTTGCCGTGCACAGTTCATCCAGGCATTCCAAACTGGATTTGAGCATCAATAAATGATCACGTGTCTGGCTCTGTGAAGCTGCATTGCGGACATGTATTGTGCAGGCCACATACACCGAGTATGCGAGAACATAAGGAGCGCCACTCAGCCCGTAAGTTGACTTGTAGAATGAGGCTATACTGGTGATGAATCTTGCTGCCACAGTGCATTGCTCCCATGATCGTCGCGACGTGGCAGTGGATCGGAGATGATCATCTGAGATGAATGGTCGATGAACGAGAATGATGAGAGAGTGATAGACGTTATGAAGAACCATGATATTAGGTGTTTGAATCGCAGTGCTCGACGACAAACATGGTTGGAAATCTAGCTCCGGTGG